GAAAAACAGAACGACACCCCTCTCACCCTCTCTTCGCTTTCTTCCTTTTTGGGGGTCCAAGGGCTAAGGGCAGCCCAAAAAATGCTTCGCTTTGCAACCATCTTCCTTCCAACACTGAACTTCATTCCTGGACCTTCAAGGGGTGTCCTGCCTGGAGGTCCCTCTTAGTGGTGTAATTAATGGCTTCCAGCCAGGGCACCCGTGGTCTTCCAGCAGATGGGGTGAACTCGGCGGGACCAAGTGAGTTCCACATCCTCACTCGACCGACCGACCGTTTCTCGTCTCCTTAAATTTCGTCGAGATCACCACGTGGGGCCGGGTCCCGGCCGGGACGGGCGTGGTGGCGCCACCCGCATAGCCAGATCTGGACGACATGGAGGGCAGCTGAGCTGCGGCGTCCGGGGATCCAGAGCCGAGAGGAAGGCGAAGCATCTGAGAAGCCGCGCCCCGAGAACTCCAAGGAATTCTACTGACATCGAGCATCTGGAAACTCTTCCAAGAAATCGGGAAAAAAAGCATCTTAAAACTTCCACACCATCTTGAAACGTTGAAAACTCACTTCTTCCCAAAGGAATCGGACCAAAACTCCTCCCAAAACCTCCAAAACATCCTTCACCTCTTCCAACCTCCCGGCCGCCGGCCGTCCCCCGGAGCGCCGCCTCCGTCGCCGGGACCTCACCGGTCTCGGAGGCGGAGCTGGCGGAGGCGCCGGGACCTCGGTGCGGCGGCCGCAGAAGGAGCTTCGGGAAGGAGGTGGCCAAGGGGTCCACACTCGGTTCTCACGGTGTTCGGGTGTGGTTCTGAATTTGGAGTGTTCTGATGTGTTCTGTATCAACAAGTTATATGGAGTTTTTTGTGATGAATTTCGGGGTTCGGCTCGTTCTTCTTCAACTTTCGGGTTGTTGTTCTGAATGTTTCGGCTTTTGGATCGGGTGTCATCCCGCTTCGTGTTGTCAAATGAGATGACAGACAAGAGATCAAAGAGGTCTCACCGTCGAAGACTCATCCCATCTGCTCTACCTGCCAGCCGCTCACAGCCCAACTTTCCGCTTCCCTCTCCGCCCGCCCGCACAGCGCCAACCCCGCGACCAAAGCCCCCGTATCCCCCACAAAAAGGCACCCCTTTGGAAGTCCAGGAAAGACCAGTTTTTGACATGGGACTGATCTGGTGACCCGGTTCGTGTCAAACACTTATGAGTGAAACAGCGTCGGTGGTTCGGGATGACCCGGCGATTAAAACAAGGGTGGGCCAGGACTTCTAGGGAGTTTTTTCTGAGTTCAGAAGAATCTCTTCAACACATCTTCAACTTGCCATGAGTCCATGAGCCATGCCAGAACATGCCGCGCCATGCCCATGACATACCCAATGAATGGGTGGTTTCTGGGCTTCGATCCTTTTTCTTCTCCGGGCCGGCGACGAAGCGCACGAAGAAAACCTTCGTGAAAGGACAGACTTCTGTACACGTCCCGGACCAGAGGTGGGTCAGGACCTGACTGTTCGACTACCCCAGGTGTTCCGGGTCCTAGTCGTTGGGTCACTGGCTACCTCTCTTGGTCGCGATCACCACGTTGAAGAGCTTCCTCCCTCCCTCACACCTTTGGCCGCCAAACCCGCTGTCCTTCCGGCGCGGGCGGCGGGCGTCCACGAGCGCGCGGTGAAGGCGTTGGACCAGTCTGGGTGGGGTTCCACTGGAACACCATCTGTGATCTAGACGCCAATTTATAGAAGACCATCGTAAAGGAGTGGTGCATCAAGCCCTGTGATTTTCATACCTAGCTTTCGGATGCTTTCGGTATTCTCCGTACTCTAAAGAGAGTGTTGTTAGGATGCGAAGTGCGCAGTGCTGTGAACCAGTTGCGTGTGTGGACGGCCACTCAGTCCTGAGCCTTGGCCTTTGGCTGGTGCTTGGTAGTACGACTTCTTCTCCATCGAGCCAGTCGAACCTGCTCCTTTGGGCTCGTTCCTCCTTTCTTTGTCTCCTTCTCTGTCACCTGTGTTTGTGTCAGCTGTTCTCTTCCTCTCCACGTCCTCTCTGCTCCCTTCATTCTCCTCCAGAGTGCTTCTGACTCCATGTTTGCCTCGACGGCCGCGCACCGCCCTCGGCACCTCTGCCACCGGCTCTGTCACCGTGCTGCTCGCCGCGGCGTCGGCGGCCGACGCGGCTGAGCGCGGCGCGCGGGGACTGCAGAGCTTTGAAGGAGGACCTGGGCTGGGCTGAAACACCTGCAGAGGAAGCTTCATCTTTTTGGTGGAGGGAGAAGAACATTTGTCCAAAGAAGTTTCTGGCATGTCTCCCCTCCCAAAATTCATCCATCTCCCCAGCGCCGCTTGTTTTCGTCACTCACGGGCACCTTCGCATCCCGTCGCTCCCGGCCCGGCTGGACCGGCTGGACTGGCTTCGGGCGCGTCCGCGCGTCCGCCCGCCAGGTCGGAGGCCTTGCGGCGAATGCTCCGCAGGGAGAAGTGCTGCAACTCCTCGAAGGTGCCGACCTGGGGGCACGCCCGGATTGGAGGAATGGTCATGGACCGTTCTCCCCAAGCAAAAGAATGAAGGTGGCGAGGAAAGTTCACAAGGTGGGTGACAAGTTGACGAGGCGGGTGCAAAAGCAAGACATGCCCCCCCGCCCGCCGGCATGGTTCACCTCTGATCGTCCATGCAAAGGCTGTCTTAAGCTTCACAATGACACCCCCCCCCGGAGTTCGGGTCCTGGGGGGGTCCTGGGAGCTTGGTTCCAGCTCTTCCGGCGACGGATCGATCCGAACCAGGCACCAAACGTTCACGGCAATGAGGACGTAGACCCACGAGGGTGGGAGTCCCAGTGGTTCCAGTTCGACTCCAACCACTTCGACCGGTTCCGAATCCCAAACTAGTTCTTGAATGTTCCTGAAAATACCAGCACCCTCCAACAGGTCACCAAACCTGAGACAGGGCCTTTCCCAACCCTCCATGCAACGGAGACCTGTAGAGTCGGGTGCTGGTAGAGTGTTTTGCCACTGGGAGGGTGTTCGCCTTCTCGCCCTCTCGCCCGGAGCGGAAGGTCCCACCGGTCCGGAGCAGTCGGGTTTGGCCGCCTTCACGCGGGTTTCATGGGTTTGAGCCGGAGAACACGTGTTTTTTGTTCAATGAAAAAGAAACCAACCTGGACCTTCTTCCAACACTCCTTCCTTCCAACACTGAACTTCACTGGAGCTTCTTTCGGGGTGTCCTGTCTGGAGGTCCCTTAGTGGGCTGGGGCTTCCAGCCAGGTGACCCCGGAATGAAGGTGCTGGAAGTCATCAAGAACAAAAATGCCGTCTCAAGTCTCAAGGGTTGCCGTCTCATCATCATTTGGACGATCTTGGATGCCTCTCAGAGTGCCGTGCTTCCTTGAAAAAAGAAGCACGGCCATGACTTTGGGCGCCGGAATTGAGATCCAGGATTCCACCGCATGCTGCACACAGGGTTCCGATGTCCGATGCTTTCAGGGAGCTTCTGGGGATCCCAAAGTCAGAGGTGGGAAAGCAAACCGGGAGCAACCGTCAAGAAGGAAGAGGTCGACAACTGTCCAAATTTCCGATGCTTTCCGGGCAGAGGCACCACCAAAGCGGCTCCATCGCAGAACTCGGCGCCGAAGTTCTCTTCCACGTCCTCTTCGCTCAGATCGATCAACACGCGACGCTCGATGGCCACGATGATGTCCCCACAGCGGAGGCTCTGCTCGGGCGCCAAGCAATCCACCACCAGGTAGCCTCGCCGAATCGGGCACGTTGGGCGAGGCGAGTTGGGCCCGCATCAAGGCAGCACGTTTACGTTATAAGAGGTATATGTACCACCCCGAACTCTTTTATCACGGAGTTTGGGGTGGTTTATGGGACCATTCTGATGAGGTCGTGTTCTTCCAATCACCACCAACTCCGTGGCGCTGGTCACCTGATATTCAGAGGCAACGTCACGGCGATGCTGGTGTAAGAGGGTGAAGACCAAAGAGATCCACCAGCACCGTGCAAAGGATTATGTTACCCCCCTGAAGATGTATGTTCCATCTAATAACCGCCCTGTGGGCGGTGCTGGCAGAATGTCTCTCGGTTCGCAGAAACTATACGAGGTGTGGATCGATGAATGCAACCCGAAGAACCTCCGTTCCCGCAACCCCAATCACCTTTCCAATCACCTTTCCACCTCAGCAGCACCAGCCTGGCTGCCATCACACACAGTCCACGTCGGCCCATCCCGAACCGCCACACGCCACACGCCTGCGCCGCAGGCCTCCAGTTCCTCGGGTTGGAACCCCAAGGCGTTCGGAAGCTGCGGAACGGGACCGGCCCAACTCGGCGTCCAAAGCGAAACCCGTGCGCTGTGATGGTCTGGTTTTCCAGCCAGAAACTCCAGATCCGAACCCACCTGGTCCATGGCAGTGGACGTGATAGAAACACAGGACTTCGGAGCCGGAGCCGGAGCCCCGAAAAAGATCAAAAAGCTGGTGTTTCTCTCCAAGAGAAAGACTTTGGCTTGGAAGGGTGCCTCACCATTAACCACCTTGGCTTGGAATTCGAGTTGGTCACCTGATCCATGACTGTTCTGAGCATCGGCCATGCTGGCCGACTGATCTCGGGGTGGTTTGAGCATACAAAACCGAGTACCTACATTGGAGTGATCTTCGCGGGTCAATGGTCCAATGGTACATATTACATATTCATAATGCAAGTTTCTTCGCATCCTAAGTAGATAGCTCATTCACCATCACC